TATACACAAATTCATTTATTAGGTTTGATTTACTAAGTGAATGCTATGACAAAAAAATCTATTCCAAACTGGCTAAATTTCATTGAAAAGTACAAAAAGTTATGGTAATTTAATTAAGTGAACACACCAATTCCTATCGATGGAGTATACCATGATGATGGATTCTCCCTATGAAAATTTCAGTCCTCTTACAATTTATCAATTGACATTTAGAAAGTACATGCTATTGCAAGCAAAATAATATCAAACTGGCAAAATTTCATTGAGAAGTAAAAAAGTTATGGCCATTCAAGAGAACACACCAGTACAATTGACAGAGTATAATATGATGATGGATTCTCCCTATGAAAATTTCAGTCCTTTTACAATTTATCATTTGACATTTAGAAAGTACATGCTATTGCAAGCAAAATAATACCAAATTGGCAAAATTTCATTGAGAAATAAAAAAGTTATGGCCATTCAAGAGAACACACCAGTACGATTGACAGAGTATAATATGATGATGGATTCTCCCTATGAAAATTTCAGTCCTTTTACAATTTATCATTTTATATTTAGAAAGTACATGCTATTGCAAGCAAAATAATATCAAACTGGCAAAATTTCATTCAGAAATAAAAAAGTTATGGCCATTCAAGAGAACACACCAGTACGATTGACAGAGTATAATATGATGATGGATTCTCCCTATGAAAATGTCAGTCCTTTTACAATTTATCATTTTATATTTAGAAAGTACATGCTATTGCAAGCAAAATAATATCAAATTGGCAAAATTTCATTCAGAAATAAAAAAGTTATGGCCATTCATTAGAACACACCAGACTAGTACGATTAACGGAGTAATATGACATGATGATGGATTCTCCCTATGAAAATTTCAGTCCTCTTACAATTTATCAATTGACATTTAGAAAGTACATGCTATTGCAAGCAAAATAATATCAAATTGGCAAAATTTCATTCAGAAATAAAAAAAGTTATGGCCATTCAAGAGAACACACCAGTACAATTGACAGAGTATAATATGATGATGGATTCTCCCTATGAAAATTTCAGTCCTTTTACAATTTATCATTTTACATTTAGAAAGTACATGCTATTGCAAGCAAAATAATATCAAACTGGCAAAATTTCATTCAGAAATAAAAAAGTTATGGCCATTCAAGAGAACACACCAGTACGATTGACAGAGTATAATATGATGATGGATTCTCCCTATGAAAATTTCAGTCCTTTTACAATATATCATTTTACATTTAGAAAGTACATGCTATTGCAAGCAAAATAATATCAAATTGGCAAAATTTCATTGAGAAATAAAAAAAGTTATATATAGCCATTTAAGAGAACACACCAGTATGATTAGGTGAGTTTAATTAACATGGCAAATGTTCCCTATGAAAATTGAAGTCTTAATTTTTACAATATCAGAATTTCTACTCTTTTCTATATCAGTATAACTTTAAATTTTGGGTCATTTTTAAATTTAAAGGATTGTAATTATATTGATAATTTTTTCAAGGAATGAATCAAAGAGCTGAGATGTATACCTATATAGTTTTTCTTCATACAAAAACTTACGATGAAATATGGCACAGTTAGATATTCTTCATTTAATTTATACACTTATTATTATCATTAAATTTCCCAAACAATTAGTTATGAAATGAAAAATACAATTTCTGGTAAATTGAGTCTAAATTCTGTAAGTGATTGTAATCTGCACCATAAAAGACAGTACTGAATGCATTGTAATAGGAAAGGTCATATATTATATGTATGCATATATATAAATTGGTAAAATTAAATTGAAATGTTAGAAAAGTATATTTTATGAATATATATTTTTAATCTGTTAAATAAGAAAAAAATAAAATGTTGAATAAATGATGGTTTTTTAATTATGAAAATGAGTTGCAACAGATCTTTGAATGAGCAAACCATGAAGCCTCATGTGTACATTCAAATACATGTATTTTGATTTTTTTTTTTTTTTTTTTTTTTTTTTTTGAAACAGATACCAATAACTGTTTTCATGTGATAATAGCACTAACAACATAATTAGTCCAACATGTTGTTACCTAAACTTAATTAACAAGGTTAACTATATTTACTAATTATTAGCCATTGTCATCTTCATTGTTTTGCAGTAAAAAAAAATATAACTATACATATTTTTGTATGTCCATTAATCAACACTTTAAAATGTTGTTGTTTTTTCTTGGAAAATGTTTTAAAATAATTTTTAGAGTAGGTACTCCAAAACAAAGTATATACACAAATTGATAATAAACAGGAAATGACTCGAGTCATCATCAGTCGGTGTGGAGATGAATTGTTGAATATATGTGTATATCACTGTTTACATTGAAGTTCTGGGGAAAAAAAGGTGTGAGAATATTCCCTTCAGGCTAAATTTTACAATATATTTTCAAAGGTGTGAAATTGGAATCCATTCAATGATTTCAATCTGATCACTCTTTTACAACATTATTATAAGATTTTCCAGAATCAATAAATTACTCTAGATCTCTTGAAAATTCTTCATCAAATCAAAGATACTGAAATACAATCAAGCCTTTGGAAGCAATTTCAGTACTCTTTTGAGATGGGATGGGGTACATGTAAGGAGGTGGGCTCAACTGATGAAGAATTTATAGAAGCATACAACTTTTATAATTTTGTTGCATAATATTCGTAGCGTAAAAGAGACGTCTGTATATGGGGGCAACATTTCTTCTGCTTGATTTTTTAAAATTGTTTTAATTTTATTTTTTGTTTTACTGAATAACGATAAAATGTGTGAATCGTTAGCTTTCCACTCTTACTCTGTATTTGGTGTTGATGTGCAGTGCTAAGTTTGTACAATCTCGTAAGATTTCAATACATGTATATAAAAAAAAAACCCTGAAATAGACTTGAAATTAAACAACAGTGGCCTTATCGGCAGACATATGGCTGCAATTAGCCCTTTGTTTTATTTCACAAGTCCTGCATCTAGTATCTGAAATGTACTGTTTGTACACTTTGAATACAAGATTATTGATAGGAAAGTTAAGTATATGTGTATACTTTTCACACGGAATTTACATTTGGTACATCATTAACTTTCAAATATCAAATTATATATTTTTATTTATTTTTACTATTTACAATTTAATCAGTTTGGTCTTCCACGAAAGATATTTTTAAATGCGAATGTGATCTACAGGATAACATTAAAACAAGGTGATTGAAGTTATATAGTGGAATAACATATTATCTTCTTTATATACCAACAGTCCTAAGGGGACCGCTTTGATTATTTACTATAATTTAAATCAAGGATCTATAAATTGTCATTTTTTTCTACTAAACTTTAAAAAAAATTCCTTTTCGTCCAAAGTTTCTTAAAATAAAAGTTACATTGGCTATTATTGTTTAGATGAAAAAAATAAATCACGTAAACGTAAAGACCATAAGTATTTAAAATCTATAACTTACATTCTAGAAAGGGACATAACTCTGTAAAGAGTATCGTATTATGCTATAGTGTCCTAGATCGGACATAGATATTCTTTAAGCTAGAGTTAAAGCTATAATTTTATAAATGATTTATTTTTATTTTATCGATAAAAAACAATAATAGGACATATTCATAAATGCGTCACAAGACCCACTTCGAGATATTGACTCTGCTGACTTCTAAACGCTTTAGCTTTGGACGGGACTATATTTTTGGACAGGGGTGTCGATCCCAAGTTAAGCTCAATCTGATTTTTTTTTCTTTTTTTTTTCTTTTTGATATTTGTCATCTGAGTTTGATTTCACAGAAAAATAATCAACTTCTGTTGTATTACCTGTTTTTCTTAATCTTGCAGTAAATGTTTGAATACTAATAAAGCAACTTAAGTCTGCTGTTAAACCTACCCCCCCCCCCCTTGCTAACTTCCAAGAAACCAATATCTTCACCCCAGATCGCCATAGGGTATGATACATGTATGTATATACCTAGAGGCATTTAAGAGTCTTTTGTTTTCCCCAGGTAGCAAAACTGTCACAATTTGCTTGGAACTAACAAAACATACACAAGGGATATTAACACACAGCAAGTCGATTTAACAAATTAATCTACAATAGAAATTCATGAAAAACAAACTCCATGCTTTTACTAAACCTTTGGATTAAGTCATAATTTTTTTTTTTTCATTTTCAATTTAAAAATTAAATCCAAACAATTTTACATCGTTCATAATTGATAGCAAACAATTAATATAAAATTGCATCCCCCCCCCCTTTAAGGACAGATGATACAAACAAACGTTTGTCAAAAAAGTCGAAAATATAAACTTGAATCATGTTTATGAAAGTAAAATGAATGCTCGTATAGCTTTTGATTTTTCATTCTACGTTTCACAAAAATGGGATTTGAAGTGACAAAAATTTATAGGTTACTATTGATTATCACATGAAGGATGGTTGGTGAATGATACAATTTTGAACATCATAGAAAGTTAACAATATATCAAAATGTCGTGAATTAAAAGAAGAAGAAGGGGCTTTATTGAGGCTATGTACTGACTGGACTTTTAAACTTGTACTGAATATCCCACTGACCATGCAAATAAAATTTTCTTGACTTTTCAAGGGAAACATTAATTTTTATTTTAGAGATACAGAGAGACTACCCACCCGTCCACTACCCCTCCTCCTTCTTATCATGTTCTCAATGATCATGATGATGTCCCATTTATATAAAATGTTAATATTTTTGGTATTGGGCATTTTAATTACCATTATTACCCATGGCAGTATTTACAACAACAACAAAAAATCTGAAAAAAATAGGCCTGATAATTTATTTCATTTCTTTGTTTTCTCGTGAACTATGCATTGTTTAAATTAAAAAGGATAAACCAATAAATAAAAAGAAGCAGTAATATTCTATCTATGGATTCACTTCTTAAAAATTCTGTGCAGACGGATGCATTATATTCCTAGAATTACCCAATACCAACCAAAGAAAAAAAAAACGGCGACAAGATTATGAGGATATTGGAATTTCCACATGATGTTTGTAAACAAAATTATGACGAAGACCTGCTCTATTTTTGTAAGTAGATCTAGAATTATTGAATTTGTTATTTATTTCATTTAAAGCATGTTAATACATGCCTCATAGATTCTTTTTTTTTTTTTTTTTTTGAAGTCTAAAGATCTATAGATCATCCTGATTCCTCGTTAACTGATGAAACAATCTTATGAATTTCTGTCACTGTAAAGTGTTTGCAGAGCTAGCAGTCGATGGGGTTATTCAGTAGTACATTATACAAGTTAACAAAGTAAATAATCGTCAGAAAATTATACACATCGGAATATTATTCTTTCGTTCGAATTTCCTCAATGACAACGTTGTAGGCTAGTATTCGTTCGTTCGAATATTCTCAATGTGTACACTAGCTGATGATTGTACTTAAAAAATTATACTGTCATGTCTAAATTTGTCTGTAATTTGCAAGTTACAATTTATAAGTATCTTGATCACAGTCATCAGCATTACTGATTAGAAAATTAATTATCTTCTCTCAGACATGGTTAAAAGTATCCTACTACTGTAGTGTACTAGGGATTAACAAACATTGCATGTGTTGCAAGTACTATTTTTTTTTTTGGTGTCAAGATAAATTTTGAGATATGGGGGGTCAGTGCTTATAGTACATGTCATGATGGACATAATTAATAACCCCCAAAACTCCTACTCATATTGTTTGGAAGTATCCAAATATCAAATTACTAATTCTCTGTTAGAAAATTGGTTGATCCTCTGAAGTTTACATAGGACATGTACCCACATGATTATTGATATAATCAATGTGTTTTTTTTTTAATCTCTGAAAAACAGTCTTAAAACTTTGAGTGAAAAATCAATCTTTATACTGCTAAACTCATTTTTTATACCATGAATACATACTTAGGAATATCATTATTAAGTTATGTTCATGTTCTTTTGAGGGGAAAAAATATACATCATGTAGATGCTTATGTGTAAGTAAATTATAAAAGACAAAAATGCTAGGACTTTTTTATTTTACATATTTATTTGTGAAAATATTTTTTCTATTAATTGGAAATGAAATAAAAAAAAGTTCTAGCTTTATTACTAATAATATGATTTTTTATTAGAATTGATAGGATATTGGATGTTTAAGAAATAAAGACCGCATTCTCGTGAATGTTGCAGGATAACCTGCAATGTTAATGTAGACATAGATTTAAATTACACAAGGACTCCCATGCCAATTTCAATAGTCCTCACCCACTGAAGTCAAACACAAAGGTAGTCGCACGAGATTTACATGCATATTTAGCCTCCTTAGCGTCAGACACAGAGACAGGTGCGCACGAGATTTTCATGCATATTAGGCCTTCTTAGCTCCTGACCTATCGACCTGCCTAATTTACATTCCGATAGAATTATCAAGAAATCAATTCCGCCTACTTTCAAAGAGTTACCACAGAGAAAAAAAAAACAGACATGGAAATATTATGGCATGACATCATGAAAAATTCTCAAGGGCATAAAACTACTATATACAGATACCGGTAAATGAATGCAGAACATGCACAAAGTTTCATTTATGGTATATTGATAGATAAAAATAATTTATACTTTTATACTTCGACCTCAGTAGGGGTAAATTTTAGCGTCAGTCATTTTGGCTGGATCGAGAAATTTGAGTGATCGATATTCAATTCATTTTCTAATTTTAGTGAAAAATTTAATCCATGCTTTGTTATTATACATGTAATTGGTATTGTATGATTTATTCTATTTTTTTTTCTTTAACAGAAAATGAAGGTATAGTAGCTGACATATAGTGTACATGTACCACTTGAAGATTTGTCCCCCCTGTAGTCCAAGAAATGCAAAAGTAATTCTTTGTGAAAATAGAGAGAATGAATAATAAAATTTTTCAAACCATACAACAAAAACTACTTTGAATAATTAGTACGCAACCAACCATTTACAATTTAATTTTGCAGTTTAATTTCTTTAACCTTGAAAAAAAAAATCAAATTTGATATTTTTTTTAGCTCTACTGGTCAGAGACCAGAAGAGCTTATGGGATAGGAAGGTGTCCCTCGTCCATCCGTCTAGCTGTCCGTCTGTCTGTCTGTCCATGGCGTCTAGTTGTCTGTCTGTCTAGCTGTCCATCTGTTTGTAATTTTTCAAAACACTACTCCTCCTACAGTTTTATTCTGATTTCAATATAACTTAGACTGCACTAAGGTACGTTTCAATGAACAGTGCTGCCATGGTTACTAAAAATAGAAATTTCTGTAAAATTCCTTTAAAACGCTACTCCACCTACAATTTTGGTATGATTTCAATATAATGTGGCACACAAGTAGACTACACTTAGATACATAATTCTATTTATTGCTGTCTGTTGCAAAGTTTCAAATCCAAGTGTTACTTTTTCTTTGTTATACATATAGACCAGGAGAGCTACAGTCTCATCAGAGACTTCTGGTTTATCCTTTTCATCACACTTTTTTTCAGTGTACACAGATACATACACATAAAAGGAGACATCACCTCATGATCTGTGGATCCATTGAAAACTTTAAGGACAAAACTTTTGATAATTCATTCATGTATAGAGTGTTGACTCGAATATTGAATATCTAATGAATGGAACCAAGAGAATTAATTTAAGAAGTATTATATTGTATATTACTCTTCTTATTCATCTGTCAAATTTCTTAATTAAAAATTAAACTTAAAGGCTTAAATAAGGATTTTTTTTTTCATTATTTTAATTAGAACAAGTTCTTTAATTAATTTTCTCTTATATAAACGGGCATTTAAGGTCATACGCAACGTAGTTTGCACTTTATTGGGTTCTTCCCTGGAGTTGAAGAGTTCCACTAAATGAAGGACCTGTGTGCAATATTTTTATTGTCTATATATGGATTTGTAAATCTCTTCTAAAACAATTTTGATAAAAAAAATCTGGAATTTATGTTTTGTAATTTTTGTACATTTTTCTTTGAATAATGCAAAATTTTTCAAACTTTAATATCTTTTCAAAATCCCTGGAAATGCATGCTGATTTTTTGTTTAAAAATATGTTATATGGTACATGTATTATAAGTTTAAATTTAGAATATCTTGAAAAATTATCAGTAGGTAAGGTATCTTGCGTATGTCCTTAAATGTAAAATGAAGGTATGTGTACCTTTATTCAATGAACTAGGGAACTCATGAAGTGTGCATATTTATATAATAGTGTTGTATTTTGCATGCACTATTCTTAAAAAGTAGTCAGGGTTTGACACATGGTGCACAAGCCGGAGGCTTTAGGTATAATGTACAGATAGTTTTAGAGAATAGTAGTTGAGTGATGGGGTCAATTGCAAGAAACTATTTTAGAAGAATTATTTTGTTTATTTTTCATCTTAAGTGTTAGCTGCAGAACTGTAGCTCTCTGAAAAAATATATATTGACAGACGGGAGAGCTACAGTGCCACCCATAGAAAAAACTGTATATTTATTGTGCACTTTTTGTGCGCTGTTTCTCGATTTATTTCTCAGTGTTTTTAAAACTGTCATCTCAAAATATTACTAAACGTGTGTTTCTAACATATTCTTTCACTGTTTCCACAATAAAACTTTCCTTATAATTGTTTTTAACAGCCCTCCTGGCCCTGAAATTGAAATCATTGAAAATTTTGCCTATTTATACTGCCATTTTGGTCTTCACGAGAATTCGGTCCAACGCACTTAGTAAAAGTGTAAACTACGAAAGTTATAGAGGAGTAAGGACTTTTTTGAAATGTAGCTTTTTTTTCAATTGAGGTAAGAATTTCGAAGAATTAATTCAGAACCGAGCGCACTTTTTTGTGCGCAATAAATATACAGTTTTTTCAATGGGTGGCACTGTAGCTCTCTGGTCTGTCAACATATATTTTTTCTGAGAGCTACAGTTCTGCAGCTACTTAAGTGTAAAATATTTGAAACTAAGTTTATATATATTATAGTACATTGATATTTATAACGGCGTCTGTGTTGTAATCGGTAGCGCGTCAGAATGACAATCTCGGGGTTGTGAGTTCGCTCCCAGGCGTGGGCGCAGTCAGTTTTTCTTCAGAAAATGAAGTCGTGCACTATTTCGGCATATAGTATGCTTATGCTATTTAAATCCTTAGAACACTATGCAAGAATAGTAGGGTATGGGTTATGTAGAGACAAACTGACAGGAAGCATAATAATTGACAATATATGCATTTATGACAAGAAAATTGAAAATCTTCCTGAAAGAAGTTGAATAAATTTAAGCCACTTAAGTACCAATCTAGTTAAAATTAGATGTTAGATCCGCTCACATAGTCACTACAGTCAGTTTAGCGAGTATGCGTGCGGATCTAACATCTTATTTAAATTACACGTAGATTGCTGAGGTAAAAGTTTAATACATGTACCCAATATCATTCTGCTATATTTGCATCCGCGTGGGTATTAACAGTGAGCATTAACTAACTGTGGCCTGGACCTCTTATTTTATGTGTAATGGGGTGTCCAAAACAAGGTGCATGCTGACGTTTAACAAAGAAGAAACTTGCAATGGCCTAAGGTGACTTGGCTATTATCAGTTGAATACATGTCAATGGTGCATGGTTATTATATGTACCAAAAAATAACAAGTAAAAGATCAGCAGAGTGCTTTTATTAAAGAAGTAACAGAACTAAGGAAAACTTGTTTTCTATTGGATGATATGAAACAATGAGTAGAGTACCACCGCAAATATTTCTGGATCCATGCCCTTTCATCATGTTTATTTTTGAACGGGTTCAATGAACTGTCAAAAATTCTTGATATGTTTAGTAGGTGTAGGTAGAAAGTTTTGAAATTAGTGAAAAGGTTGTTAAATATTTTTAATGCAAACTACCAGTAAATGTGCATAATGAAGATGGTTGAATTTTTTTCAAAATTATTTTCTGTTCATTTGTCAGATCGGGTTCGTTAAGTGTAAAATAATTTCCAGCTGTCATTGGAACAAAACAAGGCATGATCAGGATCATACAAAGAAAATTAAAAGTAAAAATTAGGTAAATTATTACAGTTTGTGCATCTAAATAAGTTTTAAAACTCTCTTAAGAATCTCAGAGTGACTGATACGACCCAATTTCATGTGATTTTTTAATTGGAAACCTATCAGTTTAGTGCAGCAAACAGGCAAAGATCTAACAACGTGCATGGATCTGATCATGTTGTAAAGCTTGACAAATGGCACTTATGCAATAAATTAACCTAAATGATTAGGAGGAAAATAAACATAAAAAGATTTGTTCTTCCTTAATTGCATTTTTTATTTTTCCCATTCAAAATTTACATACAAGGAATAAAAGAAGGTAATCTACATACAAGGGAAATTGCCTTTTTACTTAAAAAAAAAACAAAAACAAAAACAAAAAAAAACTGAAAGTTATAGAGATAAAACCACTTTTGATTTTTTGATCTTTAATCATTGAAAAAATTAAACATTACCCCAAAATTGGTTAATTTTAAGAAATTTAAAAAAAAAAATGGTTTAGGAAACACATAACTTAAATGAAAATAAATAATTAATAGTAGTTAAACTGTTCAATAGTTTCTTTATTTGGTTTAAAACTGTTGTTTCTTTATCCCATGGGAAAATTTTTTTCTATTTTGTAATGAATATGGGATAAATCCCACATTTATAAAGAGATGGGAGATTATCTTCTATATACAAGTATATGGGAGATTTTGTCCCATTATAAAGCATTCATGGGATTTTCAAACTTCTATGGGAGAAAAAATCCCACAGAATACCTTTTTCTCCCACAGAATAATGGTGGGATATTGGTTAGGAGAAAAAATCCCACCATTATCCCATGGGATTTCTTGGTTTCAGGTGTAATATCTTTTTACCTAGAAGATAATCAGGTGTAAATTTTGGTTCATGTGTTAAGTTTTAAAAAATCCCATCAGATGACATAAATGGTTTCCACATATCTTTGGAAAAGTGGTTGGCGAAAGTCCGGACAAATGTCGTGTCCGGAGTTAAATGTCGCACTGTTTATAGTGAAAAAACTTTGATACTTATAGTTAACTATAGTAAACTATAGTTAACTATAGTTCTTTTTTGTTAGGGTATACTCATTTCCATTACGCAGGTACGTTAAGGCTTCCCAGAGAATATTGCAGTGTACTCTGTGCCTTCACATCTCTAAACTTCAAATGTATGACTTCATAATTGAAAATGACGTCAAGTCACTGCAAACTTGAGCTGTTATGATGGGGAGAGTGTCATAAACTTTACACCTTATTTCAATCTGCGTATAAAGTGTCAGAAAGCTAGCGTAAAATAAATGTGTTTAAATCTTTTATTTTTAAATGTTATGTATCCGAATATTGAATATAACTTTGCTTTATTACGCTTGTTTAAAAGTCAGCGTGTTCAAAACATATACGAAAAATATACGTTTGACATTTACCCTTTTTTATACCCGTGGATGGAGGTAGAATTTATGATATGTGTATAATGGAGCCTGGCGCAGGTGATTAATGGAGATTTATTTGACATCTTTTGTTGAAATCTGTAAGAGGAGTTTCTCCTCTAACTGAATCTTGCTTGGAAAAAATGTGTGATGGCTTTGTTTTAACACAGATGACGATATTGAGTGGAATATACCCTCAAATTTGTCGGTAAGTTGAATTTATTGTGAAATATTTTGTACCAGAGTAATAGTATAACTTTTCCCAAGCACATTTCGGGTTCAGAAGGATGCGGCGAGTTAAAGTTAATAACAATTGTGTTAATCAGCTGCGCCGAACCGATTAATGTGAAACTTCGAAAATTATAAATGACCGTCACATGATCAACGAAGTCATGTGATATCGTAACAAATATGTATATATAGCTAAGAGAACTACTTATATAAATTGGCCGTACTTATGTACATAACTTACAAATTAAAACCAAAACCGACCTTGCAATGCAGTGGTTAATTATGTTTTGAACGCATTGAAAGCTTCGGGAAGCCTAACATTGCTGCGTACTGATTGTAGGTAAACCACCTATAATAACTATTGCAAATCTGTCTAATGGTTTTTTAGATTGAAGGAGAGAAGATTGAAGTGGAGATCTTCCAAACCCTGGACCTGGTTTTCTACGTGCACAAAGATCACATGATTGACACAATAATTTAACATCATTTGACAATCCAGGCCAATAGAACCTTCTCTTGAAAGAATCGTATGTTTTAACTCTCCCTTAATGACTTGAAATTCTGGAATTGTGTAGGGATTCTAAAATCTTTTCTCTCATAATTTGAGGGGCAACAATCTGAAAAATAGTATGACCTTGTGGGTCTTTTTCACTCACTCTGAATAAAATTTCATCAGAAGCAATTTCCAACTCTTCCCATATTTGACATTATGTTCGAATTTAATGGGTAAATGAACCAATAGTTTGCCTGTTTGGTTTACTGACTTGTTCAGTTTTGAGTTGTTTGAATTTACCAATGTTTTTGTCTACATTTTGCCATTCTTTTATTTGAACAGGACCCCAACTTTCAACCCAGTTTGATACTTCAGGGGTATTGCCATCGGCTTGGACAGGATATATTCCCTGATCAGAATACTTAGATTCTTCTTTAAGGAATGCTCCTTTTTCAGTCTCAACCTCCGAAGTCAAATTTTCACTACCTAGCATTGATTTTTGAAATTTTGAATCACAATCGGGGCAATTTTCTCTTGTACATTTACCCTT